ACGCTTGATCTGAGGTTTAGGAAAATTAATTAATCAAATATCCGAAGGTGGAGTTAGTTTGTTGTTGTGCTTGAAGCCTATCAAGTCCAGGAGGGTCACCGGGGCCACCACAAGGGCGCACTGACCAACCACCGAGTGTACTTCACCTCACGAGTACAGTAAACAGTGAGTGTATATGCACTCAGCAGTGGTGCGCCTCACCGTCTTTATAAATGTGTATATATATATATATATGTATATATATATATATATATATATATATATATATATATATATATATATATATATGTATATATATGTATATATATATATATATATATATATATATATATATATATATATATATATATATATATATATATTATATATTTATTTATCTACATATATATATATTATATATATATATATATATATATATATATATATATATATATATATAATATCCCTTGTAGACCAAATCACCTTCAAGTCTGAGAGTGAAGAAGAGGGGAGGAGGAGCGTACCATCACTCCCTTACCCTCGATCTTCACCCGACACGATCCCTAGCCTCAAGTGGATTTGAGAACCAGGGTTCTCAAATCAGAACGCGAAGGGCAAAAAAGAGCTGTGCGCCGGCTCCTTGGGAGTGATATTGGCCACCATGGCGAGTGGGCCGGTCGACCATATAGCACTGTGATGGTGGAGCATTCTCATGCCCCCCGCGCCGTCTGCGATGGCCGAGCGGGCTCTGGAGCAATGCATACATATGTGTGATAATGGCGGTGTGCGGGAGGCGGCTCAATCACCTGTGCCAAGCTCTCTGCTCTCCGCATCTGTCTCCACCCTCTCCTGCACCATTCTCATCACTTCTCTATTTCCTCTTCCCAACATTTACCTTCTCTTTATCTATACCTGCAATACACCTGAAGTGGGTTCCCAGAGGTGTGTACCCAATGCCCGATCAGGGACCACGAGTCTCTGCGATATCTTGGTGTAGAAGAGTGTAACACTGTGAGCGGCCGCACGCCACTACTGCCCCAGTGAGTCCGGGGCTTCCTCTTCCTACAACACTTTTGTTCCGGTAATATTTCTTATATTAGTTGTTGGGATATTGAAGAGCCGTGGACCTCTGGTTGTCACAGTGTTCTCTGACTCAGTCTATGACAAAGGTGCTCTTCACTCTTCCCATCATAACCTTCCCTCCAGTATGTTGTTATTTTGTCATGCAAATAACTTTATAGTATCTTCATGTAAATATTATGTAATATCTCTCTTGTCACCTATCTAGAGAGTACAGTCTGAAGATCACTGAGACGGTTTCAATAATTTAGGTGTTTTACCTTGTCTATGGGTGCCATATATGTTCTCTGTATTCCCTCTATTTTAGCCTTCTCTCTCCTGCTCTGAAAGAGGAAGTGAGTACCGAGCAGTCCCTGTATTTGAAGGTTTTCGTAATCCATCCCATTATTTTTCTGGCTGCTGCTATGTTCACTTGGTTATATCACTAAACGTTAGGTCGTCTGACATCGTAACTCTCATATCATTTAAATATATTTTTTTTCTTCAAATGGGTGATCTAATCCTTGAACTGTATTTCGATTAAGTTCTTCATTTTTACCATACCGCTTAGGAATGGTATAATCACTGAGACGATTATAATCGCCTCAGTGTTAATCAATGTTACATTTTTTTTCAATGTCTTCTACAGAGGCAATTTCCATGATGATTCTTGGATGACACGAAGCCATGAGTTGTATTTTTGTCTATATCTGACAATAGATTGAGAACAAGTAATGGTGCCAGGATTGTGTACTTGGGTACAAAGTTTTTCACTGTGCTTGGACTCTATTCTGTTAGATTTACTGTTACTCTTTTCATCCTGTTTAACAGGAAATTAAATATCATTTGCCTTACTTTATCTGCTCTTCTTTTGAACCTCATTTTATGGGTTATTATTCCATGATCACATTTATCAAATGTCTTTGCAAAGTTTGTGTATAATTGTACATTTTGTTTTCCTTCTAATGCTTCCATGATTTTGTCATAGTGGTTTAGTAACTACGGACAGATGAGATCTTCACGTTTTCAATGTATGATGACCAGGGTTTTGAAGGTCATTGTTCTTCATAAAACTAGCGATATGGTTTCTAATCACGTCTTCAAGTACTTTAATTATGTGTGGTGTTAATGTGAGCGGTCTATAATGTTTAGATAAAACTTTGCTGCCTACTTTATGGAGTGGAGCTGTTGGTGTGGTGCTTCTGGTATCTGGCCAGTATCTTCATTATAATGTGTGCTCTACTTCTTTCCTTCTCTATTTCAATCATTTTCCCTCCGTCTTTCCATTCCTTGTCTCAGTCCATCAATCCTTTTCCTGTACCGCACATTTCTCTCACTCTCTTTTTCTTCTTCACATTTCTCTCACCGTCGCTGCCTCCTGTATATCCAGTGGCAGGTGTACCTTGCTTCTCCAGGTTTATTCACAAAGAGGACGACCTGTAGGCAAGTAACATTACTTGCTGGTTGATTACTAAGGTTTAGTGGTGGCTGTGGTTACCCTCGGTAGGTTGATAAACCATAAACCCAAGACTAAACCAACAAGTGAGCCGCAGGTCTACACTTAGTGCTCTAATGCTGCAGTTTTGGGTTGAAATATTTATGTACTGTGTGTCTGTATCATCGGTACTGGCTTAGCGCTCTATCCTGGTAATTATCTGCCCTTCATATTTTGTTAATATTTTCATTTAACGTTTGTGAAGTTTTGCATGGAAGGGAAAACTTGTGTAAAATTACACTAAAATTGTTTTTGGTACTGAAAGTTGGCACTGAAACCTGCGGGTTATCTTGGGTTGAGCACTCAGTCAGGTTACAGTTACATCCTTGAGGAACTATAAACTTTATATTAATACAAGACTTCACTTCTCCAGTATTTACATTAACAGTGTTCTATGCTGTCAACATACTGATAACAATCTATTCATAAACAATTATCTCGCCTGTTATTTAACATTTCGAAATGAAAAATGCGTTCCTGGTCGTCGCCTGGCAATAGGCGCCACAGTGTACTGGTGTGGTTAACGCCTGGCGTTACAGCTCCTCCAGATTTTCACGACTGGCGAAATATATCGTGTGTAGGCATAATTACAGTTTACATTACAGGTATTACAGTGAATTACAGTTTACATTACATTACAGTTTAAGATGAGCGCTCCTCTCACTGTACCAGGCGTGTGACCTCGGTGTGGCAATGGCCGCTGACGTCTAGATGTCACCACTGCTAGGCTTAGGCTCCGCGACAAGTACCTCTGGGAGTTTGCATCATCTGCTGATGTAGACTTGACTGGAGGTAAACTCTCAGCAGAACTACTCGCATACTTTGCGTCATTATATAATGGAATGTGGAAAAAAAACAGAATTCAGAGATAACACCGTTAATGGTGTCCAAGAAATGTGTAAGTACTTCATTCATAATGATGTACTGCCAGGAGTCTTAGTGAAGTATGCAAAATGTGCTAACTGTAGGTGCAGCCTGCACATGACTGTAGGTGCAGCCTGTATATGACTGTAAAGCTGCCACCCAGTTGGGTGGATGTGGAGCACATGACTGTAAAGCTGCCGCCCAGTTGGGTGAGTGTGGAGCAAGACTAGTAACTGTGTGACTCACCATAGATGTAAACTGCCTTGTATACTTGAATAGTGACTGTTGTGAGCGTCTTTGGGTCTTGTTTAATCACTTGGGTTATAAAAAGATTATTTATATGTATATGGATTTGTGTACATGAATATATATGTATTTATGTACATGACTGTATATATATGTATATACATGTGTATGTAACATTAACAATTGTGTAACTAGCTTCAACAGATTGTCACTTGCTTAGCTAAACGAAGTATGTGGTTCAGTTCCTGAACACATTATGTGCCTCTGTAACCTTTTCTACCACCGCCCACAGGATGGGTATGGGGGGGGGGGGGATATAATAAAGAAAGAATAGAATTGAAGTGAATAGACTTGAGTATAAAGTGCAAAGGAACCACTGGACAAAGTCGGTGCCCGGACGTTCTCAGTAAGCCACTTAGAAATTGGAACATGCTTGTCAGACAGACATTAATATCAACAATACTGTGTGTGGCTCCCTCGCAGTACCTCTTTCCTTGTCTCCTTAACCCCCCCCCCTTCCCCTCAACCTCCACCCACTCCATCTGGGCCTCCTGTGAGCCTCCTCCCACAGATGTAGGCCCTCCCTCACTACCTAGTGGGTGGTTTTCCTCCTTCCTGCAAACTCCTACCTTGACAGCCGCCTCACTCTCACTTGTCTGCCTTCTTCCTCACCTCTATATATATGGCCTCACTCCTACCTGTAGGACCCCACTCCCTTCCACCTGTAGGACCCCACCCCCACCTGTAGGACGCCACCCCCACCTGTAGGACCCCCCCCCACCTGTAGGACCCCCCCCACCTGTAGGACCCAACCCCCACCTGTAGGACGTAGGACCCCCACCCCCACCTGTACCTGTAGGACCCACCCCCCACCCCCACCCCCCACCTGTAGGACCCAACCTGTAGGACCCAACACCTGTAGGACCTCACCCCCCACCTGTAGGACCCCCACCCCCCACCTGTAGGACCCACCCCCACCTGTAGGACGCCACCCCCACCTGTAGGACCCCACCCCCCACCTGTAGGACCCCACCCCCCACCTGTAGGACCCCACCCCAACCTGTAGGACCCAACACCCCACCTGTAGGACCCCATCCCCATCTGTAAAACCCCACCCCCACCTGTAGGACCTCACCCCCCACCTGTAGGACCCCACCCCCCACCTGTAGGACCCCACCCCCACCTGCAAACCCCCCCCCCTGTAGGACCCAACACCCCACCTGTAGGACCCCACCCCCCACCTGTAGGACCCCACCCCCACCTGTAGGACCCCACCCCCACCTGTAGGACCCCACCCCCACCTGCAAACCCCCCCCCCCCTGTAGGACCCCACCCCCCACCTGTAGGACCCCCACTCCCCTCCACCAATTGGATATTATCGCTGTTCCCAGTAGAGTTTTCCTTCCCCCAGTAAGTCCCGTCCTCCTGCAGGAACCCTCTTCTTCCTATACGTAACCTCTTCCTGCAGGTCGCTGTCCTACCCTTACTGGTCGCTGCCCTACCCTTACTGGTCGCTGCCCTACCCTTACTAGTCGCTGCCCTACCCTTACAGGTCGCCTCCCTTTCTCTGTAGGTCACCAATCCCCTTCCAGTTTTCCCCCTGCAGCACCAACCGACCAATGGGTGATGCCCAAGCGACGTCTGCATCATGCAATTGCTTCCTGGGTGATGGCAAGTGTCGGAATTTATGCTGAAGTGAGATTGGGCCCGCGGGTGGGGCGTATCTGCCCCAGGAGGAGAACTTAGCCCCCTCGCGTCCTCCACACCCAACACAAGTAGCGTAACGCTGCAAATGTTGCGTGGGAGTCGTCTGGAGTGACGGCACGAAAGAAATATGTCTGGGAAAATACTGGTGAGCGGCAACCGTCATGTCTTCAACCTATAATCAGGGGACGACCCACTCCGCCTGTCCGAAGATGCCTCGCAAGCCTCTACAATTTACACTGGGAATATGCACAGCTTTTTGTGATACAACTGGAATTCTGTTGGTGATTTGTACTGATAATACTGAATACTACAGTATTCCATTTGTAGGAAAAAAAGGTGATGTTTTGAAATTAAAATAAGAAGGAAACAAACTCTTAATATATGTGAAATGCGCACTACGTCCGAACACATGTCTCGCTCTTCCAATACTCCATTTTTTCTTTTAAGTGAATGTTTTGTCCAAAATTAATAACATTTGATTTTTCTAGCTGAAACATATATTTGCCACCAAAATAAAACATTAGATATCATAAAAAGCAGAAAACCTGTCTAGAAGATTACATGAAGTGGATTAAAAACAGTAAATGAGACATCGCAGTGTAGGGCGGACGCCCGCAAGATGGCAACCTATCAGCAACACCCACAAGCCATCTCTTAACGCTGCCACCACTTAACCTCGCACTACCACTCCATTTTTCATCCAATTCTAGGGGGCTAGGAGGCTTTTACTCCTCTTAGTAGTCCGTCATATTGGTGTTTAGATCCGCCTGAGGCTCTACGCCTGATGTCACTAGTACACACACACACACGTGACGTCACCACGTGTGTGCGTGAGTGAGGGATTGTACACAAGATGGCACCAGCGACGTACACGACCACTAGACGCACTCTTGGACACGAACCGTCAGGACGGATGTTTAGAATAGTATACATGAGTATAAGTGACGCCGTCACCCGCGCCACGTCCACTTGATACCCGCGCCACGCCCACGTGATACCCGCGCCACGCCCACGTGATACCCGCGCCACCCACACGTGTCTTTTTTTAGTTTTGGTGTTGTAGAGGTAGTGGGCGTGGAGAAGAGCTCCCCGGGTGTCCGTGGGCACGCCCGCTCACTGGAAGGTTCGGGTATGTCGGGCGTGGAAGCCGACGCCCACAAAAATATCACAAGGCAGGTAGGCACGGCCCTGACCCACGCCTCACAGGGCGTGGTGGCCGGACTCACGCGCCGACGTACATCTGCTCGCACTTAGAGATTTGTTTGTGGACCGCTCGGAGCCGCTCGTTGAGGATCTTAACCGACTTGTCCGGGATGGGCGGCAACACATCCTGCAAGTCTGGCTCGTGCCGCCCGTACATCTTCCGCAAGCGGTCGCCCACGTCTCGTCGGGCCACCAGTTGCCGCACGCGGTCCGCCGTGGACCTGCGGAAGACGCAGAGAGCGTGCAGGAGGGAGGCGTGGAAGGTCTCGTACTTGTCGAGGAGGCGGTAGCCGTGCAGGAGGCCGGACTCGTTGTCGAGGAAGACGAGGAGGCCGGAGGGGGCGTGCACGGCCAGGTTGTGCGCGGGCGCCTCCATCATGGCCGGGTTCCACTGCATGTTGTACAGGTTGTTGACCACGCGGTCAAGGTTGCCGGTGAGGTAGTCGAAGATGATGAGGTCGGACCACTGGGCCAGCTCGGCCAGGCCGGCCAGGTCCCGCGGGTCTCGTTCTTCCACCTCCAGCGGGTGCAGCCGCCTGCGGCTCGACCGCAGCGCCGGCGGGATGAAGGCGGGCGCCAGGCCCTCTACGAAGCGAGTCATCACCACGGGCCGCTCCTCGGCCCACTGGGCCAAGGCGAGTTGACCGCCCACGCCCGCCCACTGCCAGGCCCCCGCCCGCACCACGCCCAGGGCCGAGGGCGGGACGTTGGTGATGCCCAGGAGGCGGCTGAGGTAGAAGCTGAAGATCTCGCCCTGGATCTGGTCGTGGTTCTGGCGGTAACGACAACACGACTGCGTGCCGTTCTCGAAGGTCAGCAACCGGTTCTGCATGCGGCCGCAGCCCTCCTGGAGGCGCACCACCGCCTGGCGCCGCGTGAAGCGCCGCCAGTCGTCGACCTCGTGGTCCGGGAAGCCCCTGGGGACGGCGGCCTCCACGGCGGCGCCCCAGTACACCTCGTCCACCAGCAGCGCCGCCGCCTCCTCCACGTCGGGGGCGTCGTGCTCCTGCCCGCCCCACCTCGTCTGGTTGTCGTCGTCGCCGGGGGCCGCCGTGGTGGCGACGGGCGGCGCCCAGGTGTGTAGCGGGGGCGTCACGCCCGCGCCGCCCTCCACCATCATCTTGGTGCCGTCGTCAGCAATCTCACCCTGCTGCTGGAGGGGCAAGGGCCGAGGGCAGGGCCGAGGGCAGGTCGAGAGGCGGCGTGGCCAGCACCAGCGGCAGCATGACGCCCACCACGACGCCCAGCAGGAAGGCGAGGGTGGTGGCGGCGAGGCAGGCGAGGCGGGAGGCCCTCTGCGGTAGGGGCGGGGAGGGCAGCGGGATGCTGAGGGCGCTGCCGTCCACCTTCATGTTGTCGCCCCGGCCACGGAACACCAGCCCCTCCACCATCACCCGCACGCCACCATCACACGCCCGGCCCTATGGCAACACCGCCGCCACCTGTAGGAGACACACAGCGTCAGTTATGGCAACACTACCTCCTGGAGACATCAGTTATGGCAACACTACCTCTTGGAGACAGCCAATTATGGCAACATTACCTCTTGGAGACATCAGTTATGACAACACTACCTCCTGGAGACAATCAATTATGGCAATACTAACCCCTGGAGACATCGCTAGTTATGGCAACACTACATCCTGGAGACATAAGTTATGGCAACACTACCTCCTGGAGACATAAGTTATGGCAACACTACCTCCTGGAGACATAAGTTATGACAACACTATCTTCTGGAGACATAGGTTATGGCAACACTACCTGCTGGAGACATAAGTTATGGCAACACTATCTTTTGGAGACAAGTTATGGCAACACTATCTTCTGGAGACAAGTTATGGCAACACTACCTCCTGGAGACATAAGTTATGGCAACACTACCTCCTGGAGACACAAGTTATGGCAACACTACCTCCTGGAGACACAAGTTATGGCAACACTACCTCCTGGAGACATAAGTTATGGCAACACTACCTCCTGGAGACATAAGTTATGGCAACACTACCTCCTGGAGACAAGTTATGGCAACACTACCTCCTGGAGACAAGTTATGGCAACACTACCTCTTGGAGACAAGTTATGGCAACACTACCTCCTGGAGACATAAGTTACGGCAACACTACCTCCTGGAGACATAAGTTATGGCAACACTACCTCCTGGAGACAAGTTATGGCAACACTACCTCCTGGAGACAAGTTATGGCAACACTACCTCCTGGAGACATAAGTTATGGCAACACTACCTCCTGGAGACAAGTTATGGCAACACTACCTCCTGGAGACAAGTTATGGCAACACTACCTCCTGGAGACAAGTTATGGCAACACTACCTCCTGGAGACAAGTTATGGCAACACTACCTCCTGGAGACATAAGTTACGGCAACACTACCTCCTGGAGACATAAGTTATGACAACACTACCTCCTGGAGACAAGTTATGGCAACACTACCTCCTGGAGACAAGTTATGGCAACACTACCTCCTGGAGACAAGTTATGGCAACACTACCTCCTGGAGACATAAGTTATGGCAACACTACCTCCTGGAGACATAAGTTATGACAACACTACCTCCTGGAGACATAAGTTATGGCAACACTACCTCCTGGAGACAAGTTATAGCAACACTACCTCCTGGAGACAAGTTATGGCAACACTACCTCTGGAGACAAGTTATGGCAACACTACCTCCTGGAGACATAAGTTATGGCAACACTACCTCCTGGAGACAAGTTATGGCAACACTACCTCCTGGAGACATAAGTTATGGCAACACTACCTCCTGGAGACATAAGTCATGGCAACTCTACCTCCTGGAGACATTGTAATTTATTGCACAGTCCCCTAGTTTGTGTGAGTATAGCTACACAACTGTAAAATCTATGACCCGTGAAGGATTCGAGCCCTGTCTGCCAGGGTACTATACCTCTGGTGGACCGGGTTCGAATCCTTCAGGGATCATAGAGTTTACAATCGTACATTTGTTTGGGGACCATTCCTTCTGGGCTAAGTGCTCAACTGGTCGGGTCAGGGTTGTCACCAGACAAACGAATGCCAATTGGCATGGAGCATACGGGTACCCCCCACGATGCTTTTGAAAAATCATAGCAGGAATTTGAATCATTTATATCTTTTTAATTATCTTTTTTCTTTGTAACTTATTATCCACTAACTCGTAACATTTATATAAAAACATAAACAATTCATGCTTTGCTTGTGATTAGCTAAAATTCCCACGTGGTCTTTGTGGCATTGTTAGTGAATTACCGCTGCTGAGGGAACACAGCAGCCTCCTGCCCCTGCCTGACTGGTGCTGACTCTCCCACGCCGCGTGGCTGTCCCTCGCCAGGCTGTGGGTGAGGCGGGGGGGGGGGGGGGGGGGAGAGAAGGGAGAGAAGGGAAGGTAGCGGGAAAAGACAGAGAGAAAAAGATTGGGACATATATAATATTAGCTTTATATATAACTATTTACACACTGATATTGTAATTGGTGCAAAGTATTTTAAACATAGTTGCCACTGGGCCATACTGTGAAATAGTTGCCACTGGGCCATACTGTGAAATAGTTGCCACTGGGCCATACTGTGAAATAGTTACCACTGGGCCATACTGTGAAATAGTTGCCACTGGGCCATACTATGCAACAGTTGCCACTGGGCCCCTACTGTGCAATAACGAGAAAAATATTTGAGTTATAACGTAACATATGTATACTGACAGCTCCAGTCAGCTGGTGTAGGGCTGCATCCTTCAGTTTCACTAACAGACCAATATTTTGAACTAAAATTAAATTAAGTTTCAGATCGATTCAATGAGGCGTCCTCGAACTAGTGCACATAAACTTGTCAAGAGGTAGCAATGAACACCAAAATGAACCACTAACCACCACAGACTTGTATAAATAAAATCTTTTTTGTTTGCCCATTTTATTTAAGCCTCCGTTGACTGGCCAACAATGATCGGTATATGATATACTCACAAAACATCAATAAGTAACCAAATAAACAGAAAATTAAATTTGAGAGCATGTGATAATATCAAAAATTTTCTCGACTAATCAACTCTGTAGTAGCGACAAATATATTCAATTACAAAAAATGATGCCACATCTTTAATAAAGGTGAGTGCATATATAAACCAGGATATATTGTTAATGACCAATTATAATAATGTGGGCTGGGGGCAGCAAACGAATGTGGCAAACAATCTAGATAATTAGTCGAGTCAGTACGCGAAGGGCCGCCGTTCGTTTAGGCAGATGACAGTCACCTTTTGGTTGGTGGTTGGTGGTCGAGCTAGGGGTGGTCGAGGCGGCCCTTGGCCCGTCTAACTGGCCCAGCCCTCCTGATGGGTGCAGACTGGCCCAGCCCTCCTGATGGGTGCAGACTGGCCCAGCCCTCCTGATGGGTGCAGACTGGTTGTTGTCTGTAGGTGAGCGCGTATATCAAGACCTTGGCAATGCGTACGTGACTTGTGAAGACCTGAGGTATTTGTGCTTAAGGGCGAGTATGGTGTGATACTACGCGTACCTGAGAGCAGCTGCTCTGCTTCTTGTAACCTTTAGTTTTAACTGAGGATTCGGAATATTTTTTCAGTACAGAAATGAGAGGTTCGAAGGCGTGAAAGTAACATTGCAACCCGTCCTCGACTCAAGTGCATTACATCCAGCGGTCGACCCTAGAAACGCATTCATAAATTTTTACATGCTGTTCATTAAAACATGAATTTCCTCATATATAAATTTATATTATTATATGTTAACATATTGTGTATATATAGGCAAAGGTTAGGTGTTTAGGTTCTGTTGGCGATTATTTGTATTTGTAGTACCTACTGCAGCAGGTTTTCATTTATAGATGTTTCATTGAATATGACTGCATAATCTGTATTGATGATTTTCCTGTTTAAGGCTTCTATCCCTCTGACTAGTGTTCTAGCATCTTGGTTTAATTGGAAGAGGAGTTCTCCAAAAGTTATTTTTGTTCGAGGTGAAGAAAAATAAATAAATAACTGTAGAATGTATTACACTTATTTTAAAATTACACAACGTTTTGAACCTACATGGTTCATTCTCAAGTGATAGGAAATTACAAAGCATGTTGGCTTTATACTGATATGGGGTCAGGTGAAAACAATACAAATGGGTCAAGAATAAGGCATAAAGAGGAGAAAAGTATTAAAGTTTAAAGAAAAAGGGCGTAAATAGGGTCCTATCGATATCCGCATACAAAGATTAATCAGGTGTATTGGGCGTGGCATGTTCAGCTGTGTTGTCTATGTTGGCATCTTCATGTTCCGGTCTTGTTCTTACTCTCATGGCGGGGTAAGTAAGTAAGCATCAAAAGAAGGCACCAAACCGGGAAGGCTATGTAGCAATCATGGTGGCTAGAGTAAATAGTTCCGTAATTTGGGTATTTATGGCGGGTTGTTCTATTTTTATGTGGATTGTTTCAAGAATTTGTAATCTTCTTACGTCTGGGGTTTTGTCTACTATAAACGTGTTTTTATTCAACATTTCCCCTGTCAGGGGTGATGTCATGGGCTTCTCTCATGTGATTTTTCAAGTGACGTCGACCAAGCTGACGAGGCGTTTGACATGTCATCTTGAATCAGATGCTCCCAAAAATCACATGAGACAAGCCCATGACCTCACCCCAGCACGAGAAATGTTGAATAAAAACACTTGTATAATAGACAAACCACAAGATGTACGAAGATTACAAACTCTTGAAACACTCTACATAAAAATATAACAACCCATCATAAATAAGGAACAGGGAAGGGAACAACTCTTCCCCGTTCCCCCATTCTCTCCTCGTCCTTCCAACCATTCCCTATTTCCCCATCCTCTCGTCTTCACCACCATTCCCCCTCCCCCGTCCCCTCGTCCTCCCCACCATCCCTTATCCCCTTGTCCTCCCCACCATTATCCCCTCCCTCTATCCCTCGTCCTCCCTACCATCCCCCACTCCCGTCCCCTCATCCTCCCCACCATTCCCCACCCCGTCGTCCGATGCGTTCCCAAATCATCTGATGTTCCCATCAGAAAAATGGGAACATCAAGCGATCTGATGTTCCCATCACTGAAAAATAAGAACAGTTAAAAAACGAAATGAAAACAATGAAAAAAAATACTCATGAAATGAACGGCATGGTAAATGATACAGCTCAATTCCACGGTAATATCACACAAAATAATTAAATCAAAATGAAAATAAATCGAAATATATGAAAATTTAAATTATCATTTCAATCGGAAACATTGACATGGAATCGTAACATATTTAGTATAGCTTGTGTTGCGTTTACGGGCAACAGATGGCGCTGTTAAAAAAAATGAATGTTTTTACCTGTCACAGGTGTGGCATGTATATAATATGTATATAAAAACATGCGCTTATTCGAATGGAATGTAGTTTCAAAATTTCAAAGCAATT